TTTTTCTAATACCAGGTAGTTCTGAACATATTTTAAATGTAGTGCACAGGTGGAATTAAGTAATGTGGGCTCATCATTTCAGTGGAGATATCCTGATTTCTCTAACTAATGACTTGCTTCAGTTTTTTTTCAATTTATTATTTAATGGCTTTAATCAAGACGTGAAAAGAAGATCTTTGTATCCTTAAGAGTTCGTCAGCATCTACCCTAAATGTTTTCCATTTAAGGTTAACTGGCCTTTTCTTTTGTGGCCAACAAACTACTATAACTGGAGAGAGCAACTGGAAAAACTGAAATAAACTCCAAGTGCAACTAAAACTCTAAAATAGCATATCTTTTCCTGCATATATTCCAGAATCTAAGCTAAACAGAGGCCTTGGGGGACAGGGCTCAAAGGAGAGAGGAGGAGCTGGGAAGCAAAGCCTTTCATGTGTGGGAGAGTAGCCTTGTTGCAGAGACATGACAAGATTTCATTTTCATTGGCCACAGTCTTATTTCAGAAAAAAAGAGATTGCTTTAGAACAAATGTTTCTGCAGCTATATGGATATTTTAATTATATCATGCATTATTCCTGAGTGTGATCCATTTGTGAATGAATGGTCTCTAGCTGATCAACTAAGTCTGCCTCATGATAAAGATAGACTAAGCTTGAAAGGAGGCTGACAAGCACTTAACAACCTTTGATTACTGGCAATTTACCAGGCATCAATGTCTTCTCCAGTGATCTTAGTGAAATCTTAAGCCACACAGAAGAAACATGTATAAATAGCTTGACCAAATTGATTAGATAGGTGGCACTTCTGCAGGAGTGGATGTTACCTTTGTTTAAAAAAAAAGTCATAATCACAATTCTTTTGCATTTTTACTGATAACTTCTGCAAGGGACTGAGTGAGGGAGAGTCTTTTAGCCTATGTGGATGGATTGGAGATGGAGCATTTTAGGAAGGCAGTACTGGCATGCTTTCGGTGTGACTGACACCAGGGGTACATCTATGTGCTATTTAAAGAGCATCTGTAAGCTGATAACCCAGTACATTTCAAGTGAACACAGCATGTATGTTAAGAAACAGGAGTGTGTTAATGGTTTAATTTTTCTTTTTTAATTCAACAAGGTTGTTAGGGAAATAATTTCAAAGCCCTTGAAAAGAACAGAAGGTGTTCAGGAGTAACATTTTTATAGCTAGTACTAGTATTATAATGTTCATTTATTCCTTTTTTTAACCCCCTTCCCAAATATGTTCCATATTCTCTTTTAAAAAGTACAGGGATTCAAGATGCTTTTACATAACATTTTTAGGATCTTGCCCTTTTTGAAAGTTTTGAAAAGCCTTTTAAAAATTATGAAATGTAAACCAAAAGGTAACATAAAAACCCAAAGAAAAATACCTATTATGTCTAGTGTACCAAGAGACTTTGCTAAGTGTTTGCTAAGATAGTATCTTTTGACTGGAAAATCTTAGATAAATAATTAATAGAGTTATTAAATCTTTAATGTGTAGTACTTTCTATTTAAGATTTTTAATTTTAAAAATGTAGTGAATTTGTGTGGTTAGTTGCTGACAGTTTTTTTTTAACCACATATAATACACAAATCTGTTCTTACATCTCCTGAAATATTTTTCTCCTCTTTCCTTCTTACAATTCTGAATGCACTGTATTTAAGAAAATCAGATCATATAAAAAAATCTCTAAAAAGTAAGAAACATATGTAAAAACAAATAATGAGAAAGTTTAGCTAGAGAAATTCAGAGAAATGCATCACATTTCCAAAGCTTCAGCAGCATTCAGAAAACACATTTGCTCTGTGAAGTGATTTTCTGTTCTTTCAATGTATCATTAATATCAGTGGTACTACTCCTAGGACAGGACTTCTGAAACTGGTGTTACTGTTTGGACAACGTGGTGCCACAGGAGAAAAAATCTAGGAAAAGCTTCTGAAAAAATTGCATTCAAACATTGCAATCTGGTATGCCTTAAGATTTTCCTTGTTTCTAAGGTTTCTGTTATCTTAGTATTTTTTTCTTTTTTACAGGACCTGGCAGTGCAGTAGGTCCTTCAGTGGGCCTTAAAAAAACAATGCAAACAACAGGAGAGCAAAGAGGACATGGGTTAAAACAATAATAATTTGTGGTTACCTAAAGGTGTATTTACCACACCACTGTCCAGTAGGTAAATTATACACAAAGAGAAATTTGTTTTGTGTTTTGTTCAGCCACTTTGGTTGGTGCTTCAGAGAATAGGTGAATGAGAAGGAGCCTTGCAAAGTGGGACAGCAGACAAGCTTATACTCAGTAAAAGATGTAGGAAAACTCAGAATGATCCATTTCAGAGAAGCAGATGATATATAGATATAGATATATAGATATATAGATATAATGGACAGTGTACAGAATGTGAGGGAAGCTGTGATGATGCAAGTCTGGTGAGTAGTACTATCTTAAAGATACTAAGACAGAGGAAAGGAAAACTTGGTCCTCATTAACTTTAGTCCTCATTAATCTTAGCAGGATCCCTAACACTGTGAAAGTAGTAGTTGATTTAATTAAGTTAATCTTTGATCTCCCCACTAAATGACTCAACCTGGAAGGAACCACAGTCCAAGCAAATTTCTTCTGATGACTCTGGAGCATCTAATCAGCAAAAGATAGCACTAGGCACAGTTTAGTCAAAAACCTCAACTGGCACCAGAACTAAAACAATATTATTGACCCAAAAGATCTGTAGGCCTCTGGCATCCCTCTGTGAAAAAAAAGATTTCACTTGCCTAAAGAAGTGATTGATGGTAATGATCATAGATTAAGAAGATCAAGAATTGTGAGCTTTCAAGGAGGTGAAAGGCCAAATGGTGAGATTAGGAGATGGCAGTTTAATTGAGAGAGGAAGGAGGAAATAAGTGGTAAAAGGGAAAAATTAGGAATCAGATTTAATTCTGTATATGAAGGAAATGTGACCTACAAGGGTCAGCCACTGATAGTTTTGGATACCTCTTCATAGTGGGGCTTGCATTTTTATTTCCATCACAAGTATTTGGGAACTGAGAGGCAATCAAGCCCTTTTGCAAGGACCTAAATTTAGAATAAGAACTGCCTAGTGTGAAATGTATTGATTTTGAAATAACATGATCACAACAGAGAAAAGCTTTGATGGACCCTGAGTTTGTTCTGAGTTTTCCACTAAAGGTATGTGTGTGTGTTCCTGAGGCTGCTTTTTAGATAGTATGTAGAAGCAGAACGTTATACCACTTTTTTACCTCAGTTTAATATTTGTCTCTATCTCAGGCTTTTTTGAAAGAAGAAAAGTGTTTAACTAAATTTTCCTAGGAAATGTCAACTTGGATCAGCGTGAAGTAGCTCTGCCTACTCCCTTTATGGATCAAGATAACAAGTGTTTCTCTTCAGATGTCACATACAGCTCTTAAAGAACATTGGGGCTCTGCCTTCATGGCTCCTTGTAGCATTCACTTCTTTTGTGTATTTCAGTTATTTCATGGATTTTTTTTTTTTTTTTCTGTTTTGTGTTTCTTCCCTTCTGCTGACTCGCTATCTGCCAGAATCCTGGTCTTCTTTCTTCCTGCCTTTCTGGTCTGTGCCAAAGGTGTTTCTGCTGTTGCAGATCCCTTCCTCAAGATAAGAGTGACTAAAGCTGTTTTGATCTTGACTTGGCAGACCCTCAAGCCCTTCTGCCTCAGGTAACCTGGCTTGTTCTAGCAGAGGGATGGGAAGGAGAAAGGCACCTGAGAAAGGCAGGACAGAAGTTTTGTCATCATGGGCCAGTCTCACTGCAGATTTTGTCCGTGGAAGAGTTATAGCTCATAGACAAACATCTTTGAGGGAAAAGAAATTACATTGGTCATCTACTTTCTCATCCATTTTTAAAATTGAGTGCTGCCCAGAGTGGAGAGTATGTAATAGCATGAAGCATTTTCTTCAGTGGATATACTTTATACAAACATTTAGAAGCAGCTGAACTTCTTGACTTCAAGTTTTTAACCTTTGATTATCCCTATTGAGCTAATTTGGATACAAGAAACTGAGTAGAATTATTTTTAAAAGTGGGGTTTTTTTATAAGCTGACAAGGGGTTATAACAACTTTTACTGAAGGCATTATTCCAAATCTGAAGTGGATGTGTAATCTGTGATGAGTGCATTATACAGGTTAACCTCTAGTCAAGCTGCAGAGAGTCAGAGGGGCTTTATTTACAAAAAGAGAGAGATTGTCCAATGTGCAGAAGCCCTTTGCTTACAGATGTACAGGGCTCTAGTTTATTCCCCAGCATGTCAGGAAAATCAATATCTATAATGATTCCCATTATCAAAGCAACAATTGCAGAGATGGCAGTAAAACATCACCCTGTTCTTACTACTAGAAGAGAATCCTTTCACTGGTTTCCTGTATATCTTTATGCACCACCACAGCTTATTTGCAATACGAACATATGGATTAAAGTTATACCCTGTCCTTTCATTAAACAAGTTCCTAGGAAACCTGTGTACCAGTGTAAAGGCTGTACAAATGCACTGTCCAAAGCATTGTCAGCCAAGGAATGGTAATTTCATACAAAAGAAAAATAAGACCTCCTAAACGAACATGATCTGGCCATGTGCACTCACGGCCCAGAAAGCCAATCCTGTCCTAGGCTGCACCAAAAGCAGCGTGGCCAGCAGGATGAGGGAGGGGATTCTGCCCCTCTGCTCTGCTCTGCTCTGATGAGACCCCACCTGCATCCAGCCCTGGGGCCCCAGGAAGGACATGTATCTGTTGGAGCAAATGCAGAGCAGGGTCACCAAGTTTGTTAGAGGGATGGAACACCTCTCCTGTGAGGAAAGGCTGAGAGAATTGGGATTGTCCAGCCTGGAAAAGAGAGGACTAAATTCTTTACTGTGAGGATGGTGAGGTACTGGAATTGGTTGCCCAGAGCAGTTGTGGATGCCCCATCCCTGGAAGTGTTGAAGGCCAGGTTGAATGGGGCTTCAGACAAACTGGTCTAATGGAAGGTGTCCCTGCCCACAGCAGGGGAGTTGGAATGAGATGATTTTTGAGGTTTCTTCCAACCTAAACCACTGTATGATTCTATGATGCTAAAGTTTGCTTTCCTTTATTACTGTCATATCAGCCTCCAAATTGCAGCTACTGCTCTACATCAAAACATATCACAGTAATCTAAAAGGATAGTGATGCATCAGGCCTCTGCTGTTAGTTTTTCATACAAATCTGCAGCATGGCTGTATAAACCTTTTCTCTGGAGTTGGAGATTGTTCTGCACAGTTGTTGTCCTGAAAAGGGATACATTCCTTCGAACTTTGACCTGACAGCAGTTTTTCACCTCAAACTCTGCTGGCTGATATTGCCCACAGCTCTCCAGGTAATGTGGTTCATTGCACATCTCTCAACACCTCACAGCAGTCCAGTCCAGTCCACACACACACACACACGGTTAACAAGTGCTAGGTAGCAAAATAGAAATATGTGGTCCCTTCTGAGCCTCTGAGATGCTTCTGCTTATAAACTAGTCTTTCTGATGGTCAGAGTGTTTTCCAGGCATCTCTGTGAATAAACATGCTTTTCTGCAGGTATCCTGCAAAATATCCATTTCTCTCACTTTTCTGAGAGTCTGGAATTACAGCCTTCACTTGCTGTTAAACAACATTCAGGATAAAACATTTCCTGGCAATTCAACTATTATAAACTATATATAAAGGGCCAAGAAGAACTGGAAACAGCTTTGTTTGACCCCTGTCCAATGTCCCAGTAGGCAAGACAGACAGAAATGAGCTGGGCTGATATGCAGCTATAGTAGAGATCAATCAAAAGGACAAAGGAGTTGTCTAATTTTCTGTGAAACAAGGTCAAAATGTTTGGTTATTGTGATTTAGGAAATATAGCTCTCTAAAAAATGGGGGAAATATTTTCAGATGTGTGCATTTGAAGTATTATACAATAGACTACAATTACTAATATATACATTATCATAAGTAAAATGAAAACATACACTTCTGTGCTGACTAATCTGAGATAGTTGTCTTAGATGTTATTAAACAACAGCTGTAAAAACTGACCAACTTCTTATGCATTAAAATAATGTTTTCAGGACATGCTTAAAAGATTTACAGACAGCACATACATGCCTGTAAATTTCTGGACTGTAATTAAGAAGCTGAACTATGGAATAAAAATTGTACATCTGTCCTATTTTATATTTGGATGTATTACGTTGCAGGATACAAAGTAAGAGATTGCTGAACAGCAGTTTCAAAAAATTACCATGATCTAAATGAATAAATACCTCTCAGAAGCTACAGCATAAGTTTTTCAGTTTGCTGTACATCTGCTGCTGCTAAAATAACCTGCTGTGTGGGGTGGGTGAAGAACCGGACTAGTCCAACCAGCTGCGGGGCTGCCCAGGGTCATATTTGTGCTTCCATTCCCACACCTCCAGCCATGCCAACTGTGTAATATCAACAGAAAGAGAAAACAGAGTCATCTCCTTTAACAAAGAGCACTGTTAGCTCTAGGAAAACTGTAAATCATGTCTTGAATGGCCACCTAAATAATAGAAATAAACAACTGGGGACAAAATGGTTGTATACACATAATAGTCCTCAAGTGACAAGTAAGGAAACATTGAAAAAGTTTGTGAGGACTTGATTCCAGTAAAAAATCATGTAAGTCAAGATTTATTTGTCCCACTTCCACATCAAAAATAACCCACCAACAAAGCAACAACAAAAAAAAGCCCTAGAAATTCCCAGCACCACTAGTCCTTGTACCTACAACTGATAAGACATAAAATGCATCATCTTCATAAAGAGGATTAACTGCAAAAGCTTGAGTCATATAGAAGAACAGTATTAGCCAATCATCTTCAAAGACTAAGGAAAAAAGAGTTGATTATTAGATATTATTTATCTTTAAAGGAATTGTCTTCTTTTTTTTTTTATTTGGTGTCTCTTTAAGTCCTATAACTTAATTTTATGCATACCCATACACTTCAGTTCTTCAGTGCTGTACATCTATCCTAAAATCTTCTAATTGAAAATCATCTATTAAATCCATCCCTGATATCTACTGCATATGGCAGAGTTGTGGTAAGATTTAAGTGAACACAGTCTAATTTTTGTTTCTGAGGTAGCAATTAAGGTGAACATTGCTTCCAAAAACCTCTGAACATCAAAACTAGCAAAACTAAGAGAACTATAAGCATTCATTGAAAATATGACTCCTTCTTGTCTAGGGACCTTAAAGGATACTGTAGTTAGATGCAAACTGAAGACAGCCCAATCAGGGGGAAAAGTTGTGATTTTCTACCTAACCTTTCCACTTAAACTGTTTGGGATTAATTTCTTACAGGCAGTTCTGTTAAACAAAACTTGGTAAATATCTTCCCACTGAAATGGTGATTATTACAACAAAACAAATTGTAAGTCAGGGGCCTTTAACAAATAGCAAAAACTTCTACCAAGTTCCTAAAGCGACTGGAGTCATTAACATTACAGTCATGACCCTTGGCAAGAGAGCAACTAGGAACAAAGAAGAATTATTACTAAAAGAACAATAAAGTGGTTTAGATACATCAAGATCAATCAGGCATTAGTTTTAATATAGCCTAAAGTTAAAAGCTGTAAAATAACAGAGAATTTTCCCATTTGCATCATTTAAAGTTCACAGCCCAAGGAAAATGCCGCGTATAAAGAAACCAGAGAGCCTTCTGTGAATTGTGTGTCAATTATCTAATTACCTTTGATAATATCAGGTGCAAACCTTCAAGGAAAAAGCTTTAAAGAGCTCTTGCAGGTACCGGGGTATTAGGAGAGTAATAAGACTTGTTGCAGGGAGAAGAGAAAGGAGGAGAAACTGCATCTTGCTTTGAAATTAATGTCCTGTCCCTGGCTGCAAGAATGTGAGAGACAAGAGTTGCACAACAGTTACTGGAGCATGTTATCAACTCTAAATACAGCTTCTCAGCTTGGGAAGAGAGACAGGGAGACTGGTTTCTACTTTGACTCTTACTTCCAGGCTGAGATGCTGTCATGTATTCCTGCTAGTCAAGAAGGAAAGAATCCAAGTCTGGCTCCTACCTCCTGCCTCCCTCCTTCTTCTGCAATGTCTGTGGATGGGGAAGAGTGAGATACTGCTTTGAGATCCTGCTGCCTGGGCAGCTCCTTGCAGAGGTAGCAGAGCTTCTCTGACAGAGGAAGTCAGCAACAAGATCTCAGCCTACAGACATAGCTCCACCTTAGGGCTTGCATAGGGCAGCTGCCCTTGAACTCCATCACAAAAGGCCTGTGCACCACCAGCTTGGTCAATAGCTCTGAACATTAGCTGCTCGGTGGTGGTGTTTGCATCCATGCTTCTCTGCCTGGTAATTCCCTGCACCAGCTGGAGGAGTGTTGCCTGTCTGCAACTGAGATAATCTTCAACTAACCTAAAGACTGGACAACATGCTGCCCCAGCCAGGTGGGAAGGAGATGTGCCTGCACTCCTGGTCAGCACCAGTATCTCTGATTTTTGAAAGAAAATTGTAGTGACTTCTTCAGCTGGAAGCCTTGGTGAGTAGATGCAGAAGAGGGTGTCTGGTGGCATGTTTGTATTTGGATGATTGCTCTTCTGCCTAAGTGATTTACAAGTGATATTCACCACTGTTTTAATTAAACATGCCTTCTGATTTAGAATTGGTAAGCCTCTACTTCAAGGAAACGCCAGGGTAAACTTTTATTTTGGCAGGAGGAAGCAAAACTAGTAAGTAGGATAGGGTCTCCTAACAGACAGAGAAGTGGGAAGAGTTCAGAAAGTGCAGCTAGGGGACACTAACCTCGGTAGTAGCGTCTTCAAACTAATCCCTTTGCCACAGAGGTTGGCTCTGTAGCTACTGCCTGAACTAGAGGAGATGTGCACTTTGTTTGGATTACTTGGTTATTGTCATCTCCTCAGTGTTTCCCAGAACTCCAGTGGAGAGCAGGAAACCAGTCATCGTTGGCTTCCTCCTGATGTGCCTCCTTAGGCTATCCCATATGCTTCAGGTGACCCAGGAGGGTCCATGCAGGCACCACCAGCACAGGAGACTGCAATCAGGAGCAGGAACTGCCAGCTCCTCATCAATCCCACATTGCAACAGACCATGTCAAAGATTTATATAAAGCTGTTACAAGTACATGTTTGGGGTTGGGGTTTTTTTAGCTGTTACACTTGGGGTCTTGTTTGTACCTCCTTCTTAGTGACCAGCTGAGCCTTCTCCATGTTCATTACAAGAAACCTGCATTTGTGGCTCTTTAAGAAGGTTTGACCCCTGACTCCTCAAGGACTGGGACACACAACTGACATGAGACCACACCAAGCAAAAATAAGGTCAGTGATTAAACTTCTTGATGTTGCCAAGTCAAGTGTCAGTATCAGAAGGGAGTTCATGAAGTCATTTGCAGTTATAGACCTGAGAGCAAGAACTGTCTATTTACTTTTTTCTGAGGTTGCAGCTTGTGGGAGGGGAAGGTGGGGAAGCACAGCTTTTCTGTTAAGAAATGCGTATGTTGGTTTAGGAGCTGCCACATCCTAATTTCTAGTAAATGAAAAGCAACAACAATAAATATCATGTTCTGTATGTTAGATACTTTTAGTATATGGAATATTGCTGAATTTCTGTTCCATGTGAAAAAAAAAAAACCTATTCTCTTGAATTAGATCGTCACCTGACCTATTACTAAGATAATCTTCAGCTAGCTTACACCTAAAGACTGGAACTGTGGTGATTCTTAGAACAGTTTTGTGAATGCATATGTGATGAAATTAAGGGAAGTCTAGTCATGATTAAGGTTTCCAGTTCCCCTGAGAGCTTCCATCAAACAAAATTATTTCCCTTCTAAAGCATATGTTTGAAGAAGGGGAACTAAATATTTTTCTATTATTTGCCTGCTGGAATATTCTTTACTTGGTGTCCGAGCACAGTGGTGACATATACAAATAGTGCAGCTCATCTTTTAAAAAAACATTATTATATCAGTAATAAAGAAAACAGTTTGCATTTCAGATGAAGGTACAACAGTTTATATTTACAAAATCACAAAATATTTACTCTGCCCAGAAGAGCAGTGATTTGCAGACCATTTAACAGCAGTTTGTGTATGCATTTAAAGATTACATTTTTTAAATGAAGTTTTTTATTTGTGTGCTAAGTAGTTTTCTGTAAGTAAAAGGATCTTTGGATTTATATTCTGTAAAAAGCAGTAGTGATTGAGATCTGAGTTTTTATAGCATGTGGCATGCAAGGTGTGTTTAGCTTCTTGTGGATATTTTTTAGATTTTTTTTTTTAACTAGATCATAGTCTTTATTTGCTTTTCTGGGGAAAACCATCATAAGCCCATAAGTGTTCTACTTTTAAGCAATGTACAAAACCTAACCTCTTTGTTAGTTTTGTGACCTTACACCATTTGCTAACATTCACCAAAGAAGAACATTTTCACTCAGAAGGGATCTCGGTCCCTTTCTTTTCTCTGGTTTTCTTGAAAAAACCCAAAGTAACAACACCAAAAAACCCAAACATGTCATCTCATCAGTTGACCAGAGGGGAAAAAAAGAATCAAAAAATACCTCCACAGGGCACCTATTTTTCCAAAGATTATGGAGAAGTGAGGGGAGATGTGAGCAAGGAGCAAAGACAGGCTAGGAAGATCCCAGTCAGTGCATAGCCCTGGGACAGACTCTTGGTCCTTCTGTGCCCTGTGAGCTGAGTGAACTGGCACGAGGGAATTTTGTGCTGCTGTCATTAGAGTGCATCTGTGTGGTAGTTACCACACATCTGGTCACAAAACTGGATTGCAGGCCTCTGTCTAAGCTTTACTGAGTGACACCTGTGTGCAAGGGTCAAATATGAGCTTACTTGCATGGAGATGTTCCCATCTGCTAAGCCCCAGTGAAAGTTCTGTGGCTCTGCAATGCTGGGTGGTTTGTGACTCTTGACTGTGAACAGCAGCTGCTCATGTGGAGGGGGCAAGAAGTCTGCTAGAGCTTACTGAAATATGGTGTACAAGGAGAATGCCTATTAGCGCTTGGCTTCTCTCCAGAAAGATGGAGCTGCTATAACTCCTCTTATAGGGTGTACCACCACTCACTATTTTGAAGCAGGTGTTCTCGGGCCACAGTGACCCTAAGTGGACCTTTTACATGACAAAATTCACAAAGAATTAATTTTCTTTATAAATGCCATAGCTACCTATCTGTAGCAAAATACGCCATATCAGATAACCTAGGCAGCATCTGTATATCCTCACCTAATTGCTCTGTTACTTGTGGCAATGATGCCTCAGAAGAAATCCCCCAACCCTTTTGATTAGAGCTGGGGCTCTGGCTCCCACTGCCATGGCAACAGAAGTGCTGCCTACTAAAAAAGCTGAGTCCCAGAAAAGGTCACCAGAGTTCTTTAGAAACTGGGAAACCCTTTATCCTCAAAGAAAGAGAAAGAGGCACAAGTCTGAAGCTGAAAAGACAAAATAGTTTGCCAATGGTGAGCATACAAAACTTCCAGTTTATCTCATAAAGCATATTTTTAATGTGTTTTAATTGCCTTTATGGCTATTTAAGCACTCTGCATAGTTTTAGGAGGGAATTGGAGGGTAAAAGGGCTGTTGTTACACAGCAAGGTTGTGAAGATTGTGGCTTTCTTCAGTTGTCATATTTGTCATATTCAGTTGTCAACCTGTAAAAACTGGATCTGACAACAGCTACGTTGGGAAGAAAAGCATTTTTTTGTCCCCAGGAAAAGGTGTATTAAAGCTGCTGCTGTTAATACAGGGAAGAAGGTGAATGCACAGCAGCAAAGGCAGCCTGGCTCACTGACCCAAAACATTGTGCTGGCCAAGGAACAAAAGCCTGACTCCAGTCACCTTTCCTTTACCTCCCCTAAAGCAGCCATGCCAAGTCACATCACTGGGTAGCAAAATGAAGCAAAAAAAAGATGCCACCACCACACCCCTCCCCAAATTCTCTTTATTTAAAGGGGATAAGCTAAAAGGTGCTGGATGGGAAATGTATTGAGGATTCAGACACATCCTCAGTACTGCAACCTTGTCTACTCCCAGTGCATGCTAAGCAAGGAGGCCATTCTGAATGCAGGAAACCTTTTTCCTTCAAATTAAAACACTTTAAGATGCCTACAAATGCTTAGTGTGACAGTTGCATTACTAAGATGTAAAGGGTCTAAAAAATAAGCATAAAAGCATAGTTGGTACAAGAATAGATAAGAATAAAGCCTTCTAAACACATTAATGTGTTGAAATACTCAACAGTTTTTAACCTTTGCTTAATTCTTTGCCTTTCTACCTGTCTTTCAGCTTTTCATGTCTATGCAGGTTATTCTTGTAACCTTGACATTTTCCAGGGTCTGTAAAAGTCTGCTGCTAACAGTTCTGGTTATGTTTTTCTTCAGCAAACAGTTAATTCCAATGAATGGGTATTGCTGTTTTAATTACGGAAAAGTCAATATACTTTTGCAGCTTTGGGCAGCATGACAGACACAGGACAAGCCTTAGTACCTTGGTTATCAAATTACTTAGGCATATGTATAACTTTATGATAACAAGGTCATTGTAAAATGGCTATCACATAATTCCTGAGGAAAGTGAAAGGCAGATGAGGTCATGTGTGAAAACTCTATGTGTACTAGATAGCTTTTTTTTTTTCCTTCTCTTCCCTGTCTTCCAGGAGGCTTGCATAGCATTCTTATTCTCAATTTTTTTTTTTTTTGTAATTGTTTCCCATAGCTCATGATTAGTTGCATCAGCTAACCAGAAAGCTGCTGATGGGGTAAAACCATGATACTCAAAATCTCAAAATCTGGTGATATCTTGAGGCAGCAATAGCACAATATGCATTTTTGGTGTGCAAGGGGCTTCAACACATGCTTTGAATAGCTCGGAAGCAAACAGCAGGATGAGATGTGGCTTCATGGCGCCAATGAAGGTGAAGGAATTAAAAAAAGCAGTAATACGTGGCTGCATCCTGGATTCCATCAGGAAGTTGGATTTCAGGTTGACAAATGTCCCACAGCGCCCAGGGAGAGCATACACAGCAGCGGGTGTGGTGCAGGAGTGCCGGGCTGGCCTGTGGCAATGCAAATACTGGAGCAGCAGCCGCTGCAATCAGTGAAGCCACCTCACCCTGTTTGGCACGCTGATAGAGCTGGGCTACAGCATCACTGCGAAGGCAAACAAAGCTATCCGAGGTTAGACCCAGCCCAAACCGCCAGGTCAGGCAGAGTGCAGGCAATAGCTGCATGTAAGGTAGGCTTACTTCACGCAGTTTGATCGGAAATAATAATGGAATATGAAATGTCAGAAACCCAATGTCTGCAAAACGCAAACATTTTAGATTAACGTTTTGGGTATTGCTAACTTGAGAAATGTGGCCCATCATTTTTGATTGGACTGAGATTTTCCATAAGATATCTACAAGTTTCTGCCACTTATCAGTGGAATTGGTGTCAGGTAAAGAAAGAGAATGAGTTGCCTGTTAAGAAATGTGTAGTGCAAATATTTATGCACACAAATGCCAAGTGCAGAGTGGAGGCAAGTTGGACAAAAACTGCATCGTGAATCAGCTGCTTCTAAGGATGACACACCCTTAAGTTATAAAGTTAAGGGTAGATGTTCACAAGCTCCTTAAACACAATAAGTAACTTGAAAGAGAAAAGGCTAACTCTGCTGTAAAGGATCCATTCTCCAAGCACAGTGTTTACAAGTAAGCAGCACAAAGAAACCGATTTTTTAAAAATCTTTAAACTCTAAAGAGTAAATCTTTATAGCAGTGCAAGGGAGTCATGCCCACAAATCTCATTATTCTGAAAGCTGCTTAGAAACTTTAGCCCTTAGAGTCAACATACCACAATCCATTCAGAAGTATGCTTTCAAAGTTACAAATGCTTCTAACAATAAGCTAATAAAAAAAAAAAGGGGAAGAAAAAATATTATTTGAAAGGAATTTATAAGGAAATAATTGGGGAATTGGGGGAGGGGATGTTATAAGTAAAGAAGGAGGTAATTGAAATTAATTGAGAGGAGTATAGTAGGAAGTGGATGTGGTTAAGGTATTCACAAGATTAGTTAAAGAAAAGCCTGGTAAAACTGGAAGTAAGAAGCCAAATCCTGGGACAAATGAATATAATTTCTTTGATGTATTTTGAGCTGCATACTCAGCATTTAGTGCGTGGACCTGAAGAATGACTGGGCAAAAATAGTGATGAAAGCTTATTAAAATTCTACCCTAAAAAGCAGTATGCCGAATTTGGTGCACAAAAGTTTCTTATACTCTCAGAGATTAAATACCTAGTCAATGGTCCTGAACAGCTGCAGGTATTTCA